CGGACCTCAGGCCAACAAGCCGGCTCAGTTCAGATGGGACATTAGATAAAGTCAAAATAGCTAAAGACTGCTGTAAAGTCCCTGTTACATGGGATTTGAATGCGCCCTCGGAACTGCACACGTGGTTTCCACGTTAGCTCCAGTTAATCTCCGTAGTCACGAACGATGTATCACGTGCACGAAGTGTTTCATTCTAACACGCATTCATTCATCGGTGAGAATGAATTCGTCGAATAATACTGTGACGATAAATTGGCATGGGGATAGGAATGTAAGAATCTCACTATCCCTCGGGAGGCTCACCGGAAATAATAGCCTTTTGATAACTGTTCGAGAGTTCCGATCCAGCAGAACCCTCGCCGCCAAGATAACTAAGTAAGTTGGCCTATAACCTAAAGACAATTCAAATGAAGTACCTTATCGCAATAAGAGTGGTGGCCAGATGAGAGGAAGGCCGATGTTGTCACTGCGATGTCAGTTTGCCTGACAAATGTCAAGTTTAGAACATTGAAATACGCTTCACCCAGTGGTAGAAATTTTGATTATGACGAGCAGAAGTTCGAACGTTTTCAGCATTCAATCACCGATACATAGTCTGGCCAAGACATTGGAGCACTGTTTTTGAGGTAGAACAAATGATAGAGAAAGAGACCCAAACTCCGTGACGCAGCATAGAATGAACCATAAATTAGCTTAGCTATGTAGTTCATTGATGGACAGAATAGACATGAATCAGAGATGATGAGCGAAGTGGTCAAGTCATTTTCTAGAAACCTAATCAACCTGGCAGTTTCCTAGATGAGAACGCCAGAACAGAACACAGCGGTCTTACAGACACTAGCAACTGCTTCTCGCCGAGCGCCCTGTGGCGTTCATGCATTTACTTCAAAAACCACCTGTGAGATCACTTTGTGATTAAGGTTTCAAGACTACCGACTACATCTCAGACGCTACACTTTTCACAGCCAGTTTTAATACAACAGGTGTACGAAATCCTGGCAGTTAAAGACAGCTGATAAGCACGGTACACCGCCTGGTACGACTGTACGGCCATGAAAGTCCACCAGTCGTTTAGCCGTGACACTCCTTCAGGGTTGCCATGCCACCCGAAGGAAGCACGGGGGCTGGGATACTGCCAGGTTACCCAAGCCTAGTCAGAGGAAGTCCAGATGCAGAGGCCGAGTTCGAACCGCGGACCTTATGGTGGTCAGTAAATTCGCGCTCCAGCCGCTGAGCCATTCCGCCATCCATCCCATGAATTCGATATTTTTCCGAAGCCATAGTAGACGGACAATACCACGTGGTGGATTGGTATTGCCTGTAATGTCGATTTAAGCCGGTGACCCTGGGCATTTGGTTTGCCCTGAGCCACATGTGCAGCCAACTGAACTCTCTGACATACTCCTACTGACAGGAAATTGCACACAGGCTGTTTACCATCGGTTCGACCATGAATGTGAGTTGCATATCCTCACGGGGATTCGAAGCTATACCTGGTCGACCAAGTTAACTTAGTTCACTGACGGCCGGCCACGATCTTCTCAAGCCACTTTCAAACTACAGGGGCCTGAAGCATAGCAAATTGTATCCACCATATCGATTGTTCCAGGTAAACATACGATTTCACGTGGTGTCGTCCAGATGAACTAGGAAATTGGAGATAATGTCGTAACCAGACGGACACAGTAGAAAGTACAAGGCAAACAATAACGTTACCGAGCGAGGGAAAGCCCTATTCAATGACCCTTCACGCAATGGTACGAACAGAGATAGAATAGTTAGATACCCTGAGTAAGTCCACTACGGAACTGAGGTGACAACAATTAAGTACCACGATAAACCATATACTCTTGCCTATCGTATGCTGATATGTTGTGCTTTTTGTCCACCTAAGCAGGTATGCCTATCCATTGCCGGCAAACTTATATCCAGTGCACTAGAGTCCGCATTGGTTCGTTTCAGCAGCAGTCTGAACGCTTGTACGCGGGATGCAGCGATGTGGCTTTCACACTTGACAATAGAGGTGACCGCATTTTACAGACGTAAACATCATCATTGTCAGCTGTTATAACTGAGTACTCGTCGTACAGTGGTTGTAGCTGTCGCAGTTTTGTTCACCGATGATTTGGGGAGGAGTGGTAGCGCGCAGCCGAGTTTGCCGGTGATGGCTTTGATACTTCGCTGCCAAGTCATTGTTTGACCGCCTCTGGCTCTCTTACACTCTTCACGTGGTTGTGCGAAAAGCGCTTCGAAGAAGTCGGTCGCCTGGCATACGCAGCACGTGGCCAAGCCAGCGCAACCGATGCAGAGTGATCAGTCCATCTGTCGAGGGTGAGTTATTTCTCCAGACGCACTTCAGAATTGCTGATCCCGTGTTCCCACCAGATTCGGGCAATGCCACGAAGACATCGATGGTCTTTTGACGTCTTCGGCAAGCAGCGGCCAGGTTTCTGATCCATATAGTAAAATGGAGCGCACCGCAGCATTGTAAACTCGACCCTTGACAGAGAAGTTAATGTCACGCCTAAGCCACAGGTGACGCAGGTTCACAAAAGATGCTCTGGCCTTCCCAATCCGGATAGAAATTTCATCTTTCGCCAGACCACCGGGATTGATACAGCTACCCGGGTAAACAGATCTGTCTACTGCCTGAATCGATTCATCCGCAAATATGAGGCTAGGTTTCGAGTCCACCCAGTCTTGCAGTAGCACTTTACACTTTGTAGATGAGGCAGAATTGTTCAGATTATTTAATATTGTTTGCATTAAAACGGGGTGAGTTCCCAGAAGAGCTATGTGGTCTCTGAAATCCTCGAGAGCCCATGACGGGTTTTGCAACCTCATGAGTAGGGTATTACGCCTACATAATGTATTGCGATATATTGAATATAGTGCGAAATGAAACATGGGGTGGCCTATGGCAGCACATTCAGCTGCTTAAAAGCATCAGAAAAGAGAGATTCGGCTGGGTTCCAGGCGAGTCTCCCGTGAAAACCAAATTTTTATGCAAATGACTGAATGTATTTCGCATCCCACTTCACATCGTATCGGTTTCGTATCAAGCTGCGATGTGACTGACTTTAGTGAAATACAACTGGGTGGCAAGAGAACAAGGCACAGGCTACTGCAGTGTGCTCCGACGCCTGTAGTTTGAAGAGGTTAAATGGCTAGCGTGATAAGGTCGAAGATTCCCGTGATATATGTTGTTTACACTTCCGTAATCCAGTTTGGTGTGCATTCCGATGACAAATGGGGATTGTGTGCGTTTTGGCGAAAGCCACTTCCATTCACAGCCGGTTGATGATTTGCTTCTTCAGTGAGGCCAAGTTTCAGTTACACCAGAATTCAACTTGGAGGATAACCATGTGAGACACTACCGTTCTGAAGTACCCACGAGCTAGTGAACGAACAGGGCTGATAAAATCTGAACTGTACTTAAATTGTAGAGTGCCAACAGCATACGCGAACAAAATTTCGAGACACTGACATGAGGAACTGTCCGCACTCGACATGCTTTGTTCACACAAACATGCTCCATGTTGCTACTTACTTTTTCGAGTGCGATTTTGAACTGGAAAGTTTCAGAGGTGACTGAAACAATGAACAGAAATGAACATAAAGAGAATGTCTATATTAGAAAGACGGTCCGCGGTATTGAAAGCGACATATTTATGGAGTCAGGTTCCTCGAGAAATGTCAGCCGTAAGCTCGAACACGACCGCCTGACTAGGTACTGGTTTTACTGACACAAGTAAACAGTGGGCTGTACGTAAGGCTAAATTAGCACAGTTAGAGCCGGCCTGAGAAATCATACACACGTATCGCCGATACGCAGCTTGTAGAGGGTATTGTACCCCTGACTTGTTTCCGAGTAAGGCTAATGCCGAGTGGGCGTGCCGGTTGTTAATTCGCACCAAATGGATTGGCCGGTTGTGTCCTTATAACCTGAGAACATCACATGAGCGTTTTAAGTGACCTGACGTCAGATCGATGGGTATTTCTAGGACAGGTCTTCTCAAACGCAAAGCAATGGTGCTCCCTGCAAATAGCGCATATTTGGGACACGAGCCGAAATTGAATACGTGTATTATGGAGGCCAAATACTGTCGCTTCTGCATAATTGTTGGCTGCCAAAATGAGCATTTGCATACAAGAGTTTTCGGGAACATTCTATATAATGTTGAGCTGAGAACCAACAGTATCCGGTTACCCACGACAACCATACAAGAAGCATTTGGCTCATTCATTTGAGCTGTGAGTGAGTGCCCTTTGAGATGGTTCGGAGGTTATGGAGTGAACTTACTGGCTGGAAAACGCGTGGTCCGAACCCAACCCTGTCATCTGGACTGCCAATTTTAGACTCGGACAACCTGGTAGTATCTCAACTGTGTACAGTGTGGGTTCAAGTAAAACAGGTTGATGGTGTCTACCTGATGAGTCCCGAAGAGGATGAAACTGGTCGTGGGCTGTCGATAAGCCATAAGAAAGCAGCTTATGAGCAGCGTCCCGCCAACAAATAACCAATTGTGTTGGGCAGTCACATTTCCAAAATCTGGTTGGAAATATGATCTACCGTGGCAAATTAAGCTTATTTCAATCGTTCAAAAACGTGGATTACTCATTGGCTGCATTTGGGGACAGTAGTTGAAAACACGCTAACATGTTCACACGTAGAAACATCGGCTTTGATAACAATGTTTCATTGCCCCAAGCTGAGTGTCAATGAATAGAGTATGAAATGTTCTTCGTCACATTGCCAAATCTAACCATGTCACAACTCGGAAAGTGAAACTTCAACTGTGGCTCTCATCCACCTGACCCTCAAACCAGGGACCCAATGGACAACCCGGCTGCACCGAGTGCGAGTATTGTGGGGCCAACTTTCTCGGAATCGGGCCGGAGAGCTCTTAGCTACTGATGTGTTTGTGAAGAAGAAACATACTAAAAGACGGAGGATGGTCGCCCACAAGGGCATACAGAAGACTTACACGGAAGAGAATCTAGCAAGCACATTTGGATTGTTTCGGTTTTTCACCGAGGTCAACTTTATCCAATTCACCTGGCATCACTCGCGGTTTCGTCACGGATGCTTCGATTCGGTGCATCACGGCATCCAGTAGTTTGTCAACCGCTGCAGTGACCTGGAATCCCGTAGCCGCACTCGTCTCAATGTAAGGTATACTACAAAGAGATAAACAGAACGATCGAAATAAGTCAATGCACCAGGAATAGTTGATACGATAAAACACAATGAGCAAATGTGCATTATTACTAACGAAAGGAAAAAGGCCCCATGAACACACGGAGGGCGGTGATAGATTACAAAACTTTCGCCTGTAGCAAACCAATGGGGTTTCGCGCGGACAAAAAGGAAGTGGTATCCACTTCAAGTGGAATTTGTTACTCGTCTACTCCATTCACAGCGACCATGGAAATGATCGTGTGGCAGTTGATGACCTGCGTGAAGCCGACTCATATAGAATCCAAAGTTTAGCTCATACCAACATTTAGGTGACAACAGAGACCAGCTTCGGTTGGGTGGGAATCAACTTGTTAGAGTAGCAGTGTGAAGTAACATTGGTTCGTAGTGGGAAACGCGGCTCGAGCCTCAGTGCACTCATCACCACTTGGACCAACGCCTGATATCCACCACAGACTTTCTACAACGGCCAATTCTGGCGTTGAATATCTGCCGTGGCACTTACAGAGTGAGTTCTCATCACGGATACAAGAGAAATGATTTGTCGCTTGCCACAATGTTACTTCCGCAATCACGCGTTATGATATTTCTTATTCGAAGGAGTTTGTGATTTTGAATCAACGACAAGCCCCGAGTTACTACACTTTTATACTGACCCTTCTAACCGGTGCCATGAGGGGTAGGTAAAACGTCATTTACCGTACAATTACTACTTACTAATCACATCACAGCAGTTGATTATTAAGAGGAATGTCATGCACTGCGGTTGACCATGTGACGGACAGCTGCAGACCGGTGCTCCACTACTTTAATTTCTCAGATTTGTTCGATTTTTGTTACACTACAAACAAACCCAACCACCGGGCAGCGTTCAAGGACGCTGAACCATATTCCGTCGCTCAGTAAAGTGACAGATTAGTTTCAGTTCATGAGGGAAATGACTCATTGAATGTATCATACCAACAACAATGTATGTGTGCTCAGAGAAGTGAGTCACTTAAAGTATGAGATGTATGACTGGACTTTGGATCGGTTACACACACGGAAATTCATCACTCGAGTGACTGGACCAAGCTAGGCGATCGTGATTAGAGTTCTACACAAATTGTCAAAAGGAATCGGACAGCGTTCGCAGCACAAGTATTGTCAAGATACAATCCATGAGAACGACCTGAGACTCACAGTCTGAAAACTCAGCGTTCTTCGTGACTGATATGAGTGGCGCGTCAGCAAAAAACATGCGTCTCTGGTTGATGGAATAACCCATAGTTGTCGAGAAATGCACTAATTTGCAAATCAACTTGGTTTTCACGAGAGAATCAACTGAATCTCTCGTTTATGATATTCTACAACTGAATGTGCTGCACACAGGCCACCTCACGATTCAGTTGGCACGATATTCGAGATGTCGCAGGATATTTTCATAAGGAAACTACTCCCAAGGTTGCTGAAAACTCTTCGACAGCCCAGGGCCGGTTTCGCCCTTCTTGGGGCTCATCAAGTAGGCGCAGTCCCCGAGTTTCCGCCAACCTTATGTTGTACTTGAACCCACCTACCTGATGAGCCCCAAGAAGGGTGAAACCGGTCGTGGGCTGTCGAAGAGTTCTCAGCAACCTCGTGAGTAGAACTCATAGTTGTATTTTTGAGATCTTAGCAGCATTGGCTGAGAAAATTTCGGGCCAAATAGTAGACGAAGCCAATGAAACCAAAGCGCACCTAAAGTGTCCAAATTAAACTATCAAGAAGTTGCAGACAAACTTGGTATGAAAAGAACTGGCCTCATGCAGTTCCAGCGGATAATCACCCAGCCTAAGAATACGCTTGTCTTCTGTGTAACGTCGCATTCAAAGCTTTAGGTTCAATGGACGATCAGATCAGGCTCATCCAGTCTGTGAGCCAATCTACTTTTGCATTAAGGTGTATTTCTATCCGACAGTCTAGCTCGGTTTTTGACATGTCACGTAGCGCCATGGGAACTCCCCTTACGGACAACAAAACAGGTGCAAAACTACCCACTGCGGACTTATTGCCCCCCCCCCTAAGACATCCGAATTAAGGAGCAAAGACCAAGAAGTACTTTTCACGTGAATGTAATCCACGTGGTTAACGGTGATAAAACTCAGCTTCTGGATGACTGTGATCCCGATATTTGGATACGCGTCCTCCATGAAGAAGTCTAAGTTGTGGCCATCGAACCCCGCCCCTGCATCTCGACTGCTCCTGTCTAGGCTTGGGCAACCTGGCAGCACATCGGCCCTCGTGCTTCCTTCAGGCAGTAAAGTGCGAAAGAGTGCCGTAGCAAAACCACTATATTTATTATTTATTACATAGCTACCGCTGTCGATCAATTTTGTCGTCGATAGTTGTGTTTCGTCCTTCGGCGTGTTCCTCACTCTGCACCATATCCGCAGATAGGCTATGAAGACTTTGACAGGTATGTTACCAACATAGTTTTCCGGGACTGTTTACTATAGCTCCGGAATCGATCTAGAACACGTGTCGTACTCACTAGATAATCCACCTAGCCAACAACATTCATATCACTGTGCTCTCGAAAACCATTGAATGAGTACTAGTGACTGCCATTCTAAAAAAAGAATTAACATAGATCGAGTAACCCTGACGCTTCTTGCATATTTGACGCCAGGTCAGGCATTTTTCTTCCGTAAGCTTAGTTCTCAATCCACCAAATGCGCAACTGCGTGAGATCGGTTTCACCACAGCGTTTAGGACTGCTCCGGGTTTATCCACCGTAAAACACCGCATATGACTTTTTGCAGCTACTTCATTGCGATAAATATTAATAACATGCAAAATTTCAGCTGTCGGCACTTCAGTAAACTGCTGTTACTCCGACATCAAGCGTAATTCGTTCTCGAATGAAACTGCTGCGAAAATTGCATTATTTCACCAGTTCTCATGAAACATCAAGTATTAATCGGTGGATTCACATCGACGGTCTCGCTTGAAAAACTGGACCCTTTCAGCCCCAGACGAAGCGGTCGAAAACACCGTCAGCTGAAACTAAAAAAACTGAGGACGACGCGGACAGCCTCGCCAAATGAACATCGCAGCATCATCCGCTGTCGTTATTTCGTTTACAAGTGCAAGATGCTGTGGAATAAAATAATCGTTACATTTCTCACTTGATCTCCACTGATCCGACAAATCAAGCGGTACAGGTGATGCAACTGTGAAATTGCTAGGTGAGTTCTTCGGCGGTGATCCAAGATAGTCTTAAAGCCGACTCACTAATTCCGCACTAAAGTAGTCAAGAAAGAGGCGGACGCGTTGTGCTATGGGCTGTTAGCCTTAGTAAAGACCAGACAGCACGGGCGAATCAGAAAACAAAACTTAGTGTTCTCAGAGTCAAAGTGAGTGATACATCAAAAATCACTTGTGTCTGGTGCCCAGTGCCCAAAAATACCAGCAAAAACGTTCAGTCTGATCAATCCAGTAGAGTACAACTCACAGACGGCTTTACTTTGCCAAAGTGATGGTGTACAGTCGATGGTTATGGTGTTGCGAAGTCTGACAGCCATGGATCCAATTATCTCGTTTGTGTACGACAGGATTATTACGGGAACGACCTCACTAATTGGTGAAGGTGTTCACTCTCACAGGAGCGACACTTTGCTTCTCAAAGCTTTGTGAATGTAGGAGAATCGAAGAAGAGCAATCAGACAAACAGAAGAGATTCCTCGTGCTACGGGTGACAATGGTGCTGCCGTGAAGGAGGATTACAGCTCGGGAGGTTGAGCCAAAGGACCAGCAGCAGCCGAAATTGCACGGGTTATAACCCGTGAAAACCACTCCTGACAAAGATGGACGCGACATACCCGAAAGGTGTACTGTACCGACATAACTACCCTCAACTCTATCCTTGACCGATCGAGAAAGGTTACGAGAAGCTGGATACACATCCTACTGATCTGGAAAACCACAGACGGGAACGGGGTGCCGCAGTGGTCGACCATATGAACGGATGGATATTGGATGAACCGATTTGTATCAGTGCGAAGATAGTGACTTAGGCAATAGATCCAGGACACCGTGACGGGACCAACGATAAAGAGACACTGCCTGTTTGAAAGGCATGCTTCCCAAAATTACTTAAAAACCCATCTGACCTGGATTTGGACTAGCCTGCATTCACCTTAAGCCCTTGTGAAAATGAACCTTTCCAACCTAAGAAGGCCGAATACAGAAGGGTGAACCACAGAATGGCGCAGCTGCCGAGAAAGACGGAATGCCTGCGGAAATATTCAAATCGAGCGGATTCTTATTGGGAGAACTTTTTTCACCTGATCTGCACAATCTGAGAAGCTGAAAATGTCGCACAAGATCTCAAGGATCCCACAATAGTGCCAGTGTCCAAATGAAAGGGAAGCCAACACACAAAGAGTAACTATGGGGGAATCAGTCTCTTCTGAACTGCAGTCAAAAGCTTAGCGCGCATCGCACCCAGTTGCATCAAGGCTGGAGGAAAATATCGAAGAACAGTAATGTAGATCCCAAAGCATATGTATTACGGCTGATCGTAGCTTTTTAGGGCATCAGCTGCAACGGAAAGCAGGCAACATAAACGTTACGACATCCCTGACTCCATGAACAGAGGCGCTGTGGATCACTCTGCAAAAGTTCGACTGTCCGGAAGAAACTATGAACGAAATCAAATCCCATCGCTAAGGCACGGGTGCCTGAGTACGCAACTGTGGGACCAGTTCTAACGAGAGTGAAGCAAGTCGCGTATCAACTTTCTTTTATCTGAATCTGACTGAGATATTGGCAAAAGGAGTTCGTGGTTCTGAAGATGGAGCACTGATGCAGTTCTGTCTGGACGTCCAACTCCTCAGATCAAAACGCTTGTGGGCGAGGCGAAACTGTGCAATTAAAAAATCTGTACGTCGCTTTGCGCGGATGACTGTACTTCGATTACACATTTGAAAGCGGGATTGAAGCGAAGAAGTAAAGCATTTGCTCTGGCAGAATCTTGCTTTGAAATAAATATGGACGATCGGCTAGTCCAATGTACCTTTCTCTGCCTCATCATCTCTTTCAATTATAGGCGTATAATATATATATATATATATATAAAGAT